TAGGGGGGCTTTTCACTCACCTCATAGTTCTAGCCGACCTGTGACAATGAGACTCACGGCTCCCTGCAGGGATTCCCCCCTCCCCCGTCCTATCTTTCAGCGCTGACTGGCGGAACGGACGGGGCGGGTACAGCTGCCTCTAGATAGGCGGAGCCAGCTGTCAATCACGCAGCTGGGCAGATCTGGATAGTAATGTCGGGATCCGTCCCGGCTGCGGCGTCTCGGTATACCGCGAGCTGTAGCTCCCTATATACTGAGCTTAGGGTGACGGGAGGACGCTAGTTTGTGTCCTCCCGTGACCCTGAGGAGATCTATAGGGAAAAACACTGACCCCATAGTTCTCCTTTAAGGTTCTTGAATGTATTTTTAAGCTTTAACTCCGGAGTTTAGTGTCCCTTTAAGTAATTGTTGAGTGTAAATACAAACATTGGTATGTATACCGCACCTTGATATTCCTCTATGTGCTGGTCGTAGTCGGCGCAGAAGGTCAGAAACTTCATGAGTGTCCTCTTCTCTATCATAGACAACTGCTTGCTGGAGAAAACGTCCGCTCGTGAACAAGGCACCTGTCATGGAGGAGACAACAGCTTACTAATCCCGACACTTTAATGATGAAGTTTTATCTGCTTAAAAGGAGAACTATGAGGGGGGAGGGGCTTTTCACTCACCTCATAGTTCTAGCCGACCTGTGACAATGAGACTGTCACAGGTCGGCTCAGTAGATCGGGAGGTGAGGGAACACATACCGGCGTTCGCTCACTTCTCGATCCTGTCACGGCTCTCTGCCGTGACAGGGGGAGGGGCTGGATTCCCAGTGCATCCAGTGGCCTCTGTGTGCTCTGTGACTCCAGTGCATCCCTTTCAATGTCAGCACTTACCTTAAAGGAGAACTATGAGGTGAGTGCTTTTCACTCACCTCATAGTTCTAGCCGACCTGTGACAATGAGACTGTCACAGGTCGGCTCAGTAGATCGGGAGGTGAGCGAACACATACCGGCGATCGCTCACTTCTCGATCCTGTTGCGGCTCTCTGCCGTGACAGGGGAGGGGCTGGATTCCCCGCTCCCCGCTCCGTGGAACGGACGGGGGAGGGGGCGGGTACAGCTGGCTCTGCCTCTAGATAGGCAGAGGCAGCTGTCACTCACGCAGCTGGGGCGGATCCGGACATAATTGTCGGTACTGGTTAAAATGGAGACATTTTAGGAGACGAGTTCCTTATTTCGATACACTGTCAGGTAGTAATAGACAGTGTAGCAGATTGGCCAGTGACACACACGCACACGCGCACACGCGTACACGCGCACATCATCCAAAGCTACAAACCTGCTCGATCTCTCCACCGTGATAGGTGAGGATTCGGGTGACATTCTTGAACTCTGTGTAGCGGCTCACGTTGGATTTGATGAGAAGATCGATGAGCGGTCCCCGAGAGTATAGCAACTGAGCGGAGAACAGAGACATGTTACTGAACGTAATACAGAATAGGCAGAAAACAGCAAAGAGCACCTGTGACGAGAACAGAAAAGTCCCGACCTGCCACCCAGTTCACCTGTTTCAAGACGTCACTTGCCTGCAGCAACTCCTGCACTCCTGCACCTCCAGAGATTCTGTGGCCCCTGTGCTCTCATGTGACTCCGGTGCCTCCAGACCACCCATATTATACAGTGACCCCAGAGCACCCCATATTATACAGTGACCCCAGAGCACCCATATTATACAGGGACCCCTGAGCACCCATATTATACAGGGACCCCAGAGCACCCATATTATACAGGGACCCCAGAGCACCCATATTACACAGTGACCCCAGAGCATCCCATATTACACAGTGACCCCAGAGCACCCCATATTACACAGTGACCCCAGAGCATCCCATATTACACAGTGACCCCAGAGCATCCCATAATACAAAGTGACCCCAGAGCACTCATATTATACAGTGAACCCAGAGCATCCCATATTACACAGTGACCCCAGAGCATCCCATATTACACAGTGACCCCAGAGCACTCATATTACACAGTGACCCCAGAGCACTCATATTACACAGTGACCCCAGAGCACTCATATTACACAGTGACCCCAGAGCACTCATATTACACAGTGACCCCAGAGCACTCATATTACACAGTGACCCCAGAGCACTCATATTACACAGTGACCCCAGAGCACTCATATTACACAGTGACCCCAGAGCACTCATATTACACAGTGACCCCAGAGCACTCATATTACACAGTGACCCCAGAGCACTCATATTACACAGTGACCCCAGAGCACTCATATTACACAGTGACCCCAGAGCACTCATATTACACAGTGACCCCAGAGCACTCATATTACACAGTGACCCCAGAGCACTCATATTACACAGTGACCCCAGAGCACTCATATTACACAGTGACCCCAGAGCACTCATATTACACAGTGACCCCAGAGCACTCATATTACACAGTGACCCCAGAGCACTCATATTACACAGTGACCCCAGAGCACTCATATTACACAGTGACCCCAGAGCACTCATATTACACAGTGACCCCAGAGCACTCATATTACACAGTGACCCCAGAGCACTCATATTACACAGTGACCCCAGAGCACTCATATTACACAGTGACCCCAGAGCACTCATATTACACAGTGACCCCAGAGCACTCATATTACACAGTGACCCCAGAGCACTCATATTACACAGTGACCCCAGAGCACTCATATTACACAGTGACCCCAGAGCACTCATATTACACAGTGACCCCAGAGCACTCATATTACACAGTGACCCCAGAGCACTCATATTACACAGTGACCCCAGAGCACTCATATTACACAGTGACCCCAGAGCACTCATATTACACAGTGACCCCAGAGCACTCATATTACACAGTGACCCCAGAGCACTCATATTACACAGTGACCCCAGAGCACTCATATTACACAGTGACCCCAGAGCACTCATATTACACAGTGACCCCAGAGCACTCATATTACACAGTGACCCCAGAGCACTCATATTACACAGTGACCCCAGAGCACTCATATTACACAGTGACCCCAGAGCACTCATATTACACAGTGACCCCAGAGCACTCATATTACACAGTGACCCCAGAGCACTCATATTACACAGTGACCCCAGAGCACTCATATTACACAGTGACCCCAGAGCACTCATATTACACAGTGACCCCAGAGCACTCATATTACACAGTGACCCCAGAGCACTCATATTACACAGTGACCCCAGAGCACTCATATTACACAGTGACCCCAGAGCACTCATATTACACAGTGACCCCAGAGCACTCATATTACACAGTGACCCCAGAGCACTCATATTACACAGTGACCCCAGAGCACTCATATTACACAGTGACCCCAGAGCACTCATATTACACAGTGACCCCAGAGCACTCATATTACACAGTGACCCCAGAGCACTCATATTACACAGTGACCCCAGAGCACTCATATTACACAGTGACCCCAGAGCACTCATATTACACAGTGACCCCAGAGCACTCATATTACACAGTGACCCCAGAGCACTCATATTACACAGTGACCCCAGAGCACTCATATTACACAGTGACCCCAGAGCACTCATATTACACAGTGACCCCAGAGCACTCATATTACACAGTGACCCCAGAGCACTCATATTACACAGTGACCCCAGAGCACTCATATTACACAGTGACCCCAGAGCACTCATATTACACAGTGACCCCAGAGCACTCATATTACACAGTGACCCCAGAGCACTCATATTACACAGTGACCCCAGAGCACCCATATTACACAGTGACCCCAGAGCATCCCATTTTCTGGACACTCTCTCTTCCTGCAGATATGGACTTCCCATGACAACTGGACTCCAAGCTTTACAAAGCTAAAACTGACCTTTGAAACGAGATCAATGTTGAACCTCCGTCCTTCTCTCGCAATATCCGAGCAGGTAATGCTTTTCTTGGACTCTGTTGGGCAGACTTTGGCGGTGTTCGGTTCTGTGTCTGGAGTGCCGCCGCTCTCTGAAGTCGGTGTGATGTCGGCACTGGGGATTTGATCGCTTTCACTGGACATGTCCTGGTGTCCGGCGCTTTCAGGCCCCGGATCCCGCAGCTCTTGGGGCACAGGCTCCTCAGAGGCGGGGCTACCCGGCAAAGGTCGGTCGCCATCTGTAGGGTTTGTGTTCAGGAGTTCCGGCTTTATACGGAGTGCACCGACTTCCTCCACGAGGTCAGAGTCTTCACTTCTGGGGACAAAGAATAAAACAGAACGTGGAAGAGGAAGAATGGCAAGTTTCCCTAACAAGCCCCCTATGTGATAGCAAAGAGAATGTGATGGGTTCTCTTTATGGAGACATCAGGGGTCTATTAGACTCCTAATGTTACCTATAGAGTCTTGGTTCTCAACTGGTGGGTCGTGACCCCCCCATTCAGTGGGTCGCACCGTGCCTTCCACTTTTCTAGGTGAGAGGCTTCTCAGCCTCCCCCTAACGCAGCAATATCAGTTCTCGTGCCAAGTGTGAGGTAAGGTGGAGTGGGGTGGAGCTATGGCCACGAGGGAGCTCCATCCACACCTGCGTTGCTTACAGCTCCGTCGCGTGTCCTGTAGAGGTGCCTGGACCGGAGCGACGTCACGTTCTGGCTCCTGGAATCTCTACAGGGAGCTCAAGTGAGTTGCACATGCAATGCACATCTGGATGGAGCTCCGTCACAGCACAGCAGTCCACACTGGACCCCAAGGCTGAGGATCCACTCCAGTTCTCGTAAGGTAGGGAGACCGGCGGTGCCGCAATGCCATGCCTTCCGTCGCGGTGCAACTTGGGTCGCAGCTTAATGACCAAAGACAAATGTGGGTCCCGAGGTTACACGGGTTGAGAACCACTGCTATAGACCCCAGAAGAAGCTGATGAAACACAAAGCTACACAACCAGAGAAATGACAGGCTGAAGCAGGATGTGATGTAATACACATCAATTCCACATTCAGTGATCAGATAGGGAGATTAGCTGGTGGAAGCGTGCTGATCTCCATCCGATTTCAGTGCAGAGACCTGCCACGCCAGCCCTAGGCCCACATGGGGGACGAACATTTCCACGCACCATACAAGCGATCGGGCTTGATAGGATCCAGAGCGCCTCCAAGTGGCGCTGGAGCTAGCCCTGCAGTTCCAGTGCTCACCTGCGGGTGTCTCACAGCACTTAGCCATCACCTGGTGCTTCCTGGGAGGGTATTTAAACCCTCCCAAGCAGTCAGGACGATGGCTCAGTATTGTTTCCTGTTTGTCCTGAACCCGGTTTGAATCTTGTTACCTGTGAGTACTGAACTCTGTTTTGAACCTTGTTACCTGTAAATCCTGAACCCTGTTTGAACCTGGTTACCTGTGAGTCCTGAACCCTGTTTGAACCTTGTTACCTGTGAATCCTGAACCCTGTTTGAACCTGGTTACCTGTGAATCCTGAACCCTGTTTGAACCTGGTTACCTGTGAATCCTGAACCCTGTTTGAACCTGGTTACCTGTGAGTCCTGAACCCTGTTTTGAACCTGGTTACCTGTGAGTCCTGAACCCTGTTTTGAACCTGGTGACCTGTGAATCCTGAACCCTGTTTGAACCTTGTTACCCGTGAGTCCTGAATCCTGTTTTGAACCTTGTTACCTGTAAATCCTGAACCCTGTTTGAACCTGGTTACCTGTGAGTCCTGAACCCTGTTTGAAGTCCTGTTTCATGTGTCTTTTGTGTGCTGTCCTGAGCCTCGTTGTTGGTTGTTGCTATTAGTCTATGGTGTATATTAAACAAACTATACATATCTAACATCCTTGCCTGGTCCGTGTAACATACTTGCCTTGTCCGTGTGGTCACACGTGTTTGGTCTGCCTGTGTGGGTACCTGCGCAGGTGTGGGGTCGCCTGTGCTGGTATCCCTGACAGGGCGGCTCTATAGCCACCCAAATGCTTGTATGTAAGCAGCCATCGCTGGCTGTAAACTATGTTCGTTTCCGGCGCTTGGCGCTGTATATTTACGGCGACAGTGACCACATTTTTTTAAACTTCTGCTACCGTGTTTCCCCGAAAGTAAGACCTACCCCAAAAATAAGACCTAGCGCAATCTTCGGGGATTTCTGTAATACAAGACCTACCCCGAAAATAAGACCTAGTTCGGTGGTAGGTCTTAGATTACAGACATCCCTGAAGATAGCGCTAGGTCTTACCTTCGGGGTAGCTGCACATGTAATAAAATTTTACATGTGAAGACCGGCCGCAGCTCCCTCCCGCCCCCTCGCCCGCCCACCTACCCGCACGCCCACCT